ATCCTCTTAAAAAAGGTATCTGCTCTTGAAATACTTTTGAACTCATAACTCATTTAGAAATCAATGTTTTTCTTTTATCAATGTAAAAACTTATACATTTGGAAATACTTAGTTTCCTTATACTCTTACTTAATTCATTTTTGAAAACTCTTCCTAAAAAATTAATCAAAATTATATTGTAATATGATCATTGATGACTCGGGAAGTCATACTACATAAACATTGATGACATAATTAGATACCATATTGCTTAAACATTGATGACATACTCGTCTGTCATACTAATCATGTTTTAGAATCTCTTTCTGAAAAAATATATCAAAATTATATTGTAATATGATCATTGATGACTCGGGAAGTCATACTACATAAACATTGATGTAATAACTAGATACCATATTGTTTAAACATTGATGGCATACTCATCTGTCATACTAATCATAATTTAGAAACTCTTTCTCAATACTCATCTTTACTTTCTCATAAACTCAGTTTAAAATTCAAGTGTTGACTTTAAAAAACATGTTAAGATTTATAACTCAAGTCATAGGGTTCATGCAGGATTGTAGACATGAACGACTCAACTCAAGGATACTAATAGCAAGATGGAAATGCAATACTCAGAACTCAGTGATACTACTCATCTAAAAAATACTTAATTCATAGGGTTAATTTTGAAATATAGACATGAACGAATTAACTCAAGAATCTTAATGAATAACATATAGCGATTCAATATTAAGAATAGAATTTCAAAAAGAGTATACTCATGAACTCAAAGTTAACTCATCTCAATAATACTCAAATCTAGGGATAGAATCCTAGATTACTTTTTTACTCATTTGAAAGTAGATGTAGGGCATGAGGACGAACAAGTCCAACACTATGATAGTCTTACATACCTAAAAAACAAGGTTCTTGAATAATCTTAAAAAAGTACTTGAATAGAAATCTTTAAACCCTAGCTTGAAGGTAAAAAATCAGGAAAACCTTTCTTGGGATTCTTGAATTAATTTCTTGAAATCTCTATTGCCAAGAATTATAGTTTTCATTAATGATTCATAATTATATGAAACAGTGAATTGTAAAGAATATAATTAGGGAGACAGAATCATCTTGAAAATATGAAAAGGATCTTGAATGAAGTCTTTAACATTGAGTTTTTTCCCTTAGGGTTTTGTCTTAGGGTTTTAGAGAGACGAGAATATTGTATTAATAAATGAAAATCTGATTGGTTTTACTCTTTAATTACACATAAAATTACTTTAGGGTTTTCTTACATGTAAAAAGACAAAAATGACCCTTGTTAATGTTTTCCGTTGATTAATTCGTCACTATACTCTATCAGGTTACTAAAATGGACATACCTTTTGACTAGAAACTTGGATTGATGCAAAATTGGTTGTGTTGGAAAAAATATTCAAATAGCTTTAATTTTATAGGTTATGCGCCACATAACTCTTTATATTCAAATATATATGATCAATTAAAGTTGATCAAGTAATATCTTACATCAAAACTTAATCAGTACGGAAAATTTTAACTCAACTTAGTGCTAGGAGATTTTAGTGATCTTAATTGATATCCAAAATCATACCCAAAGTAAAAAATCTACCTCTACACACATAGAAAATTTAAGAATCACCTGATATGATCCTACATATTAATGAATAATGGTTTAGGTCTTAGAAATTTTTGGGGTGTTACAACATTAGTAAGGTTTATGCTTTGAGATTACAAAATAATCTTGAATTGTTATGACATTCTTCCTTAGACTCATCCGTTCTTGTTTATCTATTTCTGAAAACTTAAATTGCATGTATTCCATATTGATTCATGAAGAAGTTGAGATTGTGAATGTATATTGTATTCTAATTGTATAGTTACCTTCAAATTTTACTAGTGTAAAAATCTTTCAAATTCTACAATTAAGTATGTTGTAACGGAAAGAAATTATTGAATAAAAATAAGGAGTCTTGTGTAATGAATGTAAGGATTAATCTTGTCACGCCTCGAGCCTACACCCTAGACGTGGCCGAAACCCAATGATCATTGTTGGCCTTGAGCAAACCCTTGACGTGGCTTACTTAACTCAGTGGAAGACTTAACTCAATGGTAAAACGAGAACATTCTCATATATAACTTAAATTAATGTTTGGCCAAAATGACACTTTAGTCTAAAAATGAAATATTTGAAATAAAAGAGACACACATGAACTAACTGATTATCTATCTATGAAACCTCTATAAATACTAAGTTAAGTGTAGGGACAGACACCACAACATTCTAATAAAGAAACAAGACTGAAAAGCATAAAATGGATCCTCCGGAACGTAAGGAGGCTCACCAATGACTCTGAGTGCTCAAACAGGATCAATTAGACATTGGATGATGATCATGGTTACCTGTGTTTGCATCATAAAACGATGCAGGCCAACTGGCATCAGTACATTGAATGTACGAGTATGCGAGTTGGAATTCTCAACAACAGCTTAGGATTGATAAAATAAGATGAACTTACCTTGGCTCTGCTCACTCATGAGTAATCAACTCAATGTATATATACATGAGGATATTAAAACACATGCGATGTATATAAACTTGTAAAGCAGTAAAACAACTCAGATCATTATAGAAAATGCAATAACAAACTACATTTTACTTATGTATGAAAGTAATATAGTTTCTGTGGGAGATTCTCTAACCGACAACCATTACTATGAGCCTAAATGGTAGTACAACATCTTACATCACCTTGTTAAGGACCATGCTATACCTTGCCAACAGTATAGGTCCTTACTTAACTTAGTGGATCCACTAGCTTAACTTACGTGATCATCTAAAAAGTATGACCTGTTAATACCTATGATGGCTACATGGGGACTTGAAATTATATGAACTCTTATCCCGACATTGGTTCTCAATACTACTTGCAAAAATATAATTTAACTTATGCTTTTAGAATAATGTTCTTTCTTTGGGTTGAGATAATTTGCTTAACACTTTAGCTTTAAAAAGCTATCCTGGAATCAATGTTCCCTTATCTTATTTGAAACTCTTTTGGGAAATCTTAGTTCCCTCTTAACGTGAATATGAAAACATTTATTAACTTTCTAGGGAATATTTAGTTCCCTTATAGCTTTTGAGAAATGAACTCAACTTCTTACTCTTTACTTTAACTTTAAAACTTGAAACTTAAAACGAAGTCAAAACGTTTAATAAGGACTTTTGAAACTATAAAAAACTTTGCATTGAATTACTTCTTAACTTCTATTTAACTCTAAACTTTTTTTACTTTGAACTTAACTTTCCTTGAATTGGATTATGGATTCAACATTCATGATTTCATTTTTATGAATGATTTCATGATGTTTAGATGTACCTTGGAGTATTGGAATCGATTAGGAATTGTTGGTACATCACTTAGGAACTAGTACGAAAAGATATGGAAAGAACGAGGTCTCCAGGCATCCTTAGGGGCTCTAGTAAGCACGACGCCCCAGGGTCTTTCAGATGAGACCTCTGACTTTTCTTCTCCATTTTTCATCTCCAAACATCCTAAACTTCCAAGGATCTCACCCCAATCACTTAGGATCACTAATAATTTCAATACCCAATATATACGACTCAAAAAATAACCCAGAAACATGAATAAAATTGACTAGCATGCTACAACTCAACCAACAAGAGTTCAATAATTATTCATCAAGAACTTCGATATTCATTGACCAATCTATTCAGAACTCACCGAATCAAACATGTTAGTGTGTGGGTGAACGAAACCAACACACAAAGATCTCACATACCTCAATAGGGATCACCCCCGACGAATTCCACTCGTGAAACCTTAGCTTTCTTGGTGGATTCTTGATCTTTCTCTCCTTTTCTCCTTTTCTATATTTTCTCCCAAGCCCTAAGTGTGAATTGGTTTTCTAAAACTGACTTAAGGCTTATTTTACTCCTAATAAACCCTTAATCAAATTAGGAAATAGTTGTGTGAAATGACAAGTTTACCCTTACTAAAATCCGGATTGGGACCTACCTCAATTCAACAACCCAAATTCCGATGGGCATATCTCCCTCATACGATATCAAAATTGTGCAAATTCATCGGCGATGTGAAGATCTATCCAAGGAATTTACAACCATATAAAGATTTACTCTAACTTATCCTGAGCTAGAAGTTATGACCGTTTGAAAATGACGAAGGAAATTTTTCAAATTTTTCCTGTTCTTTTCAAAAGTGATTATTTTTAGTTTCTTCACTTATTCTTGGCTATACGAGTTACGAGATGTTACAAATCTTAACATTGATTTTTTTCTGAGGATCTTCAATCAATTGAAACGGTTTTGGCTTTTGCACACAATAATGTTTTTTCAATATTGTCTTTTTAATGATGAATTAAGAATGGTCATAAAAATCAATTGTGGATACCATGTAGGCTTGATTATATATTTAATGCATCAGTATTTTACTAATCTATTTAATTAGCACACATGGATTAGTTGTTTTTGGGAAACTTAGGATCGTTAGTTTGGTTTCTCTTTCTTTTGGCCTTATTTTGATTGCAATCTTAGCCTATTTCTTTGGAAATTATCCACCATTGATTATTGTTATAGCCCTCAACTAATTGACTATTTTACCACTCTACATAAATTATTTTTATAGCCTTCAATTAATTAAATCTAAGTTATTGATACAATATTAGACATATGAAAATTGACATTCATTCGAGAATATGTTGAAAAATAAGAATGGTAGGTAAATCCTTTTTTTACAAAAATATATTTCTCTTTACACTATAACAATTTTCCCCTAAATAATAAGGTAAAAAAAATGTAAATATAGATAAAATAAAAATAATAGAACTCACACAACATATTGTACAATTAAGTACTACAATGTTAGTCCTTTTTGTTTTAGGCTTCACAAATAATGCTTCATAAAATATCTTTATTTTAAAAAACCAAAAAAAATATGAACCAAGTGTAGTAATATGATCCTATAAATACAACATTGGTTGAGAAGGAAATTCACCCTTCACATATTCTTCTTTTTTCCATTTTCCAATCAAAGTAGCATCACATAATATGGATGGAGCACGTGCTTTGCTTAACTTTGCATTTTACTTTGTTGTGGTCCTAGCTGCAACTACTGGTTCATTATCTTACCTTCCATCTTATTATAAAATTTATGAATTTTAATTGATTAATGTCCATTTATATTATCAATATTTGTTAATTATATTCATGATATGCAGTTACCATGTCCCGTTCACCAAAGATGCAAGCAATGGGTGCACGCGATATGTCAGTTGATATTGTAGAGATTGAACAAAAATTAGTTCCGGTTGGTTCTATACTAACTTGCTTGAAAAGATGCTACAAGCATAGTGATTGTCGCGATGGATGGTTTTGTAAAGATTGTGCAAATGATGCATTTGATCAAGGTGGAAAACATTGCGACAAATTTACTTCTTCTGGACAAGGATATTTTGCGATGCTCAATCGTCGTCAAGCTAATCACGGGGTTTATGAATTTGCAGTTTGATGATGCAAATGAAGAAATAATTTGCAGTTCACTTGATGTATTTATCTAGTTTTTTTTTCCATGATGGCCTATGAGTCCTTTATCCTTATCTTTGTTCCTCTTTGTGTAATAAATAATAATGCAAGTGAACTTATAAGAACTTTTATGGTTCTTTTACAATAAGTTAATGTGAGAAATTTGACTTTTGATTGCCATTGTTTGTGATCAATTAAACGGTTGAGTTTCCCTTTCATCCCTAGTATAATTCTTAGCGAAAGACTTATTTTGAAGAAGAATTTTGAAAAACATGGAAATAATCTTGAATGATATCTTCTACTTTGATTTTTTCCTCTTAAGATTTAAGATAGAGGAGGGTAAAAAGACAAAAAAAAACAGTTTAATATTTTCTCGTCGGTTAATTCGTTGCTGCACTATAGTTACTAAAATTGTCATTGGCTTGATGCAAAGTTGGTGTCTTTAGAAAGTGGACCACCTAATTCTTTGTATTCTAAGAGATATGTCTATTTAAAGTTGATCCAAGTAAAATCTTATATCAAAACTTAATCAGTAAGGAATATTTCAACTCAATTTTGTGCTAGGAGCTTTTAGTGATGTTAATTGATATTCAAAATCATACCCATACTAAATAATTTTTCTTACACATATAAACATTTAAAAATTACCCGATATGACCCTATATAATAATGAAGAATAATTCGGGTCTTAACGTAGAATTTTTTGGGGTGTTTACAGTATTTGTGATGTTCATGCTTTTAGATTACAAAATAATCTTTGAGATGTGACATTCTTCCTCAAAATCGTTCTATATTGTCCATCTATTTCTGAAAATTTATATTGCATTAATGTAATGATCCATTTGGTCGTTTTTAGTATTAGAGCTTTTTAGTTTATAAAATATTTTTCGATTGATTTTAAATTGATATTTTAGACTATTCGTAATTACATTTATGCATTTAGTGGGGTACTTTTAATAATTAATTTAGTTGATGGTTAAAGAAAATAAGACTAAAATTAATAGAGGGTCACTTTCACACTTTTATAGTTGGTCTTATATAATAATTAAGGAGTAAATATTCTGCAGAAAGAATAAGGGTTTAGGAGAAAACCACATCTGCAACAATCACGAAGCGGTTGTTCCATCAGGTAATCAAGCTTAAAGTTGTGTATTTGATATATTGGTATGGATCGTTTGATTGTTAATATTATTATTGTAATATTGGGGTAAAAGGATGAAAGTGTAGTACTATATGTATATATTACTGTCAAGTGCAATTTGTTGTTGTGATGAAATTGATGTGAATTGGTGTGGATATTCAGGACATATTTTATTTAGTGTGTCATAATTTTGGTTTTAAAGAGAAAATGATCTTGATCTTGAAGAATAAATGTACTTGGAGATGATTTTTAAGTCCAGTGAAGAATGATCTTGATCTTGAAGAACGACATAAACTTACTTGATTACTGATATACAAAAGATATGTCTTAGATTGTTGATTAACATTCATCTTCTCCATACTTTTTATTCATATTAACTCTTTTATATGTTTAGTTTCTATCTTTAGTAGGATTGGAAATTGAAGTGTCAGATTTATTATCAATTAGTGAACATAGAACGTGTGCCAGGCCTGTTCTTATGAATTGGTGCAAAAATTAGAAGGAAATACAGAAAGAAATATTTTCTGAAAGATTTGCAAAGTCTTTATTTGAAGTTGAATTGAGGGACTACATAAAGGCTTTGAAAAAATTGAGAAGAGGGTGCTTGAATGGTCTTTTGTATTACAATTTAGAAAAATGGTGCAAAAGGTACTTCAAATGACATAGTAGATGTGACTCTATTGATAACAATTAGTTTCCGTGCACGCGCTTTGCGCGTGTAACCCATGAGGGTATTATTTCTTAAAAGATAATACTACTAAATAATAAAATATGTCTAATTGAGATTTTTTACTTTGTTTTACTACTAATTGTGACACTTCAATTTTCTGACCTCCAAGTGAATGCATCGAGATAATAATATGAGAAATTAATAAAATAAACTTTGTTTGTAATTCAAAAAATAAGTTTGCAAAGATAAAAGGAAAAATAACAACTATCTAAATTAAATTTCTTGATAGTTCCATTTTATTGATAGAATAATGCTAGATAGTGTAAGATTAACTTTGAGTGAAGGAAAACAAAACCTTTTAACTTTTTTAATGAATGTGTTTTAAGTACTGTATTAAATTTTTATCCACAAACACATTAAACTAATTAGTTTACTATAAATATTTAAAACTAAGATGTAAAAAGTTTTATCATTTATATTTTAAAAATCATGATATTTATGAATAACTACTATTTTTATATAAAATTTAATTTGTCATACATAAATTATCCACCATTAATCTAATATTATATGTTTCACCTTTTTCTTCTATAAAAAGAAAAGAAAAGAGTAAACATCCTATTTTATCACATTCATTCTTAAAGATGAAAATTAATGTATATGTAAAAATTATAAGTATGGAGAAAAGAAAAAAAAGGTACACATGAGCAAGATAATTAGGTATTTCATTTTGTTTGTCTCTATAGTGAAACTGAACATTTGAGCATACAAAATACAAATATAAATTTAGAGCAACTTGCTAATAAAACAAGAATTCAACTATATGAAGAGAGACAAAAAAGTCTTATTATAATTCTTACTACAAATAAGTATAAAACTAACACATCAAGCTCCGATGCTTCAGTAATTGAATTCTTTGCTATTCTCGTAACTGAATAAGGGAATCTCACAACTTTCACCTCAAATTGTGACATAATATCACATGTTTAGAGTTCCTACATACAAGAATTGTAGGAGTGGTAAATAAAAGTTCTTATTGAAAAAGTTAAATTTATAGAACAAAATTATGGAAACATGAAAAGTCACATGAATTATTGTTAAAATAAATATAAAAAAGATAGAGATGAAATTTAATTTTAAAGATACATGAATCTACTTTAATTTCTTGATAATTACTCATTTTTATTTTTATTTTTATTTTTATTTATGTTAGAAATTTGAAAGGTCATTAATTTATTAGAGGGGCAAAATGGTAATTCAACTTTTAAGTTTTGAGCTTCATGCTTATAATAATATATGATATGATATGTCGGGAACTTGAATGCGTGAATATTCATTAAGTTCTTTTAATCTACTAGCTAGCGTAGGTTGCTGGGAACCTCGCCCATGAACTTCTTGGATGACTTATCGAATAATGCTTCCCAATGGCCTTTGTTTCTTTTGAAATATTCTACAGTTCCGTTGTATCCACAAACAATATAATGCGCTTGCAAGTGTCACTCTGTATACCTGCATCATACTACTTTTCCTTCTCATGTTCCTCAATGCCCATCGAACTTCCTCCTGCCAGTTCAGGCTTTGCCTCCGAACACCTTGCCAAACCAATAGTTTAGACCATAGACTTCCAGCATAAGAACATTGGAAGAAAAGATGATCAATATCTTCATCTGACACCTAACAGAGTGGACATGTTACTTCATCAGCTAATCCACATTGTATCAATCTGTCTCTGGTCAGCAATCTCCTATTCAGAGCAATATACATTATAAACAACCATTTACGAGCTCCAAAATTTGCCCATACCAACTTCATCCGTCCACTTTATCCATATCACCTCTCATCTTATAGTAGACCCTCTTAATAGAGTATTTATCCATCAAATCCTGCTCCCTATAACCAACTTACTGGAAATATTTGTGGATCTTCAAAATTCTCTAAAACCAGCCAGGATGTTTGCTTGGCCTGCACACCCCACACGGAGTTCTGTCTTCCATAGTAACTATGCACCCATATCACCCACAATTTGTCTTTTTTCTTGCTTAAGTTACATAGTAGCTTCCCAAGAGCAGCTTTGTTCCAGGTATGGATGTTGAGGAAATTCAAACCTCCATTATATTTGGACTTGCATAATATCTCCCAAGCGATTAGTGCTTTTTTTAATAAATCAACATTTTCTGACAATAGAAACCTCATGCATATAGACTCGATTTCTTGTATAATGTTCTTTTACAAGAAAATTATGTATAAAATAAGTTCAGGGGTAATAGCACCTTAGTATAGTATAAACGTGTCTCTGAGATTTTAGGCATAGTTTGAGGGGATACTTATATATTTTCCCCGATAAAAATGATAAAAAGAATTGGTCAATTAAGAAAGTTTCCAAAAACATGGATCGCTGATATTTCTCCAATGACTTTGAAGATTTTACAAGAAAACAAAAATAATCCAATGCAATGTAACTTATCATGAAATGGAGAAAGATGGTTTGAAGTTGTAGACAAGAGCTTTCCACGTTGTGTAGACATTGTTAAACACACTTGTAGTTGCAGAGCTTGGCAGCTTAAAAACATAGCATGTCCTCAAGATTTTGTTGCCCTACGTTACAAGCAATATGAACCAATTCATTATACAGATAATTTCTCTAACAAGGAAACCTATGTGAGAACATATGAATATTTTTTTTAGACTATATGAACATGTTGCCACCATCTGGTAATTCAATAGTTCAACAACCAACAATTAAACAGTTACCAGGAAGGTCAAGTAAAGCTAGAAGGAAAGAGACAAATGAAACAAAGAAAACTGAAAAGCTTAACAAATGTGGAGCTATTATCACTTGTAGCAATTGCCATGCAAAGAGCCATAATAAAAGAGGATGCCATACTCCTCCAACTGTTTCAAGTCAACCTGCAACAACTTCTTATTATGTTAGGATTTAGCAAGTGTGAATGGGAAAAGAAAAGAGAGAATATGAAAAGTGAGAGAACTACTTTGGAGGGAAAGTCATTTGCAAAGTGCAAATGAAAAGTCATTTGCAAAGTGCAAATGAAAAGTCATTTCTCTCATATTGGCAAAAGAAAGGGAAATTGTTGTCTTTATAGAAGGAAACACTTTCATTACTTCTTAAAGAGCTAAGAAGAAGATGCCCCCTCGCGCCGTCGTCGCTCGACTTCGGCTTCGGCTTCGGCAAATGATGTGACTGATTGATAAATTTTTTGGACAAAATTTATTTAATCAGTTTTTTTGTTAAATCAAATAAATCCTGTTAAAATTATCTCTTATAAATTTGCAGGTAACGGTAACATTCCGAAAAGTGGTTACTTTCCAAAAAATCGTTACTTTCCAAAACAAATGTTATTTTCCTAACAG